TTCTACAGCAGCTTTTCCGATGATATATGGTACAATTACACTTCAAAATGGTGCAAAGCGGTGCATACTAAGGAGCATTTTCAAATGCTTAATGTACAATTTTCTCTAAAGGGTGATACGGTCAAAATTTGGTCAAGGTAAAACGCGTGTAAATCGGTGAAATCGTTTATTTAAAAAATCAAATTAAATTTCTTTTTCAAGTTCAATTAGTATACAATTCAGGAAAAATATTCAGTTAGGCTTCCGCTTTTCCAAATCCGAATTGCCGGGCCTTACGCTTGACCCCTGCCATCAGATTTTGTACAGCCACCTTGTCCACCTTCTTCGCCGCAGAAAGCCAGTTTGCCTTGAACTGCTGCTCGCCCTTAGCAGTTTTTTTGGTCTTCTTTAGGTTCTGCTTGACAATAGCCCAGTATTTCTCAATTGGGCGGAGCTCTGGCGTGTTGGGAGGGTTCTTGTCCTTGGGAACCACCTGCACGTTGTTGGCGGCGTACCACTCCATGGCCTTTTAACCGTAATGGCAAGATGCCAAATCCGGCCAAAACAGTACGGAACAACCGTGTTTCTTCAGGAAAGGCAGCAGACGTTTATTCAAACACTCTTTCACGTAAATTTCTTGGTTGACAGTCCCGGAAGCTATGAAAATGCTGCTTTTCAAGCCACAGGTACAGATGGCTTGCCAAACCAGATATTTCTTTGCGAACTTTGACAGTTTCATGTGCTTGAAAACATCTGCTACCTTTCCCCTTCCTTTTGCCGTATAAAACTCCTGTCCCGGAAGCTGCTTGTAGTCGGCTTTGACGTAGGTTTCGTCGTCCATTACCACGCAGTCAAACTTCGTCAGTATCGTCGTGTACAGCCTCCGGGATCGCGCTTTGGCCGTCGTATTTTGTTTATCATCGCGATTTGGAGTCACTACCTTCTTGTAAGTCGATAGTCCGGCTCGTTTTTTGGCTCGATGCACGGTTGTAGACGATACACCCAGCTTATTTGCGGCATCTCGGAGAGAGAGGTTAGGGTTTCGCTTGAAACTACCGGCAACTCTCTTTGTCGTCTCAGCGGCTTCCGGTTTTCGATTTCCCCCCGATCCAGACTTCCTGGCTGTCGACAAACGTTCCCCAAACACTTTAATTACATTTGTAACGGTTGATTTGGCAACTTTTAGCGATTTTGCCAACTTTGCGTGCGAGTAGCTCGGATTTTCGCGATGCGCGAGCAAAATTTTGATACGCTGCTCTTCTTGCTTGGACGGCATTTTGACAACTGAAGAGTGAATTCCAAAATCAAAATAGGAGCAACATTCTACACACACACACACCTTCAAAATGAGGGGTGTTCAGGTTTTTTAAATGCAAAATTGAAAGAAATACGTCAAGTTTATATTGACCAAATTTTGACCGTATCACCCTTTATTTTACGGAGCGTACTTTAAATATTGACTGAGCATTTTAAGATTTTTAGCGTATTTCGATCAATCATTTAAGGAGCAACCCGATCTATTTTAAGGAGATTTTTTTTTACTTATTAAGGAACATCGTCATTGTTTAATGATCCATTTACCTTTTTACCGTAATTAATCACAAATTACTATCTAACAGCAACGGATGAAGTTGGGTCTCCTTCTTAACAACAGTTTGGAGCTCGTACCACCTACGACATTGTGCAACCTGGTTTATGCTATGCTATTTTTGAACAGGCAACAACAGAATGTCTCAAATATTTTTTCATGTGTAGAAATTACCCAAATACCAAACAGGAAAATAGTTCAAAGTTTTGACCAAAACTTTTTGTCTTAAAAAAAAACAAATTTAAATTTAAGATTTACTTTTCGACGTCATTTCGAACAGAAGTGACCTTTCGTACTACAATTTATTTGAAAATTACAGAGATGCCATTTTAAAAAAAATGCAAGATCCAAAATGGCCGAATTTTTGCCAAATTTTGAATGAATTTCAATAACACACAATTATGGATAGTTTTATGCAAAACTGGAAAGGTCGAATTTTTAAGATTCGTCATTTGGCGTGGAAAACCCATAGAAATTAAACATAGACAAGCAAAAAAACCGCTGCATAAGGCAAGTTTTTCCTGTATTGTGGTCTGCAGCGAAAATCGGTTGTTGGATATAATTTTACATAGGGGAAATGGATGTAATGTCGGCCTAAATGCCCCTAATTTGGGCTCATACATAAATTCAGCAATCGACTAAATTGTCAATAGCGACCGAAAATATCCATTATTACCGTCCCAAAAACACGTTCATCTAGATAAAATTAATAAATAGCAGATTTTTAGCAATGGGTCCAATCTTAGATCCATAGGCCAACATTAGAGCCATTCCCCCTATTATTTTCAGCCAGACATAGATTAAAAAAAAAAATTTACGTTGAAGGTTGAAATTGCGACAAACAGTTCCCAACGTGGTTCCCCAGTGCCGGTCGGAACGTCACTTTCCACGTACCTAGTGAGTGTGTTTCGCATTCAAGGAACGAAATGAGCCGTCTCCAAACACAGTCAGAGAGACAGGCACCCACCGGGCAAACCGATTCCATGCGGTGGTGGTGTCAGTTCAGGTTCGGCAGTGTTGTCATGGACGGGTGGTGGTCTCCCTCCTTGAAAATTACCGTCAAACGAATATACCTACGCAGTAATAGTGCTCGACAACGGATGGTTGATCTCTGGCGAGCAGCTAGCTAGGTAGGTAGATAGCAGGTGATGAACATTATTCCGAGAGGGAACCCAAATTTGTACGGTGATGTGTTTGGTCGTTTTTTTTTCGAAATGGGATGCTTGGGGCTTTAGTAGATGTTGCTGAAAAAAAGAGAACGGTAAATATTTCACTTTGGAAGCTTGACACATTCTGGTCGAGTTGTAACCAAACCGGAACTGGTAAAGTGCTGGTGAACCGGTGCCTAAGGATATCTCCCGTCGGAACTGTCTAAACCACAACCGGTGAGCAAAGCTAGGAGATTTAGTTGGAAACTTTGTCGGGATAGCGTATCAACGTCCAACGTGAGGTGAGCAGCCTTGGGATGACGTTGGAGCAATTTGATGTGGATGATGATGATTCTCTCTCGTGAATTCATTGTCAAACTCGACTAGGGTAGATGTTTCAGTTATGGCTTTACGTTACTATTATAGTGTGTTCCAATTATCGACTATGGATTTTTTTGTAGGTCATAGGCCTAAGCAAAAATTATTTAAAAGCAAACATTCAATTGAATTGCTTAGCAATTCAACGATGAACTCTGCCGATAGTTAAAATAGAGTTGCAATTTGGGGACAGCCCCGACGTAGTGGTTAACATCCATACCTCTCAGGCCACAGCCAAGAAGTAAGTAACGAACGACCCAACCCAAGTAACAAACCTAGAGCTGTTAATTTTTTTCATGTTCCTATTAATCGCAAAAATCTATTTCATCTGTATCTGGCTGATAAAAATCTGTATAATTTCTTTGTTGTGGTCATCGTGCAAATCTATGTAAATCTTCATTGAGTATTTGCTACTATTGTCCACCCCTATCTTGACAAAATCAAAGCGAAATTAATACCAAGAAGATCAGAATAAACGCACTAGAGGCTGCCCATCTATTTAAAGAAAAAATATTCCTGGTACTACATACCATCATCAGTACAGTTTGTACTAATTCATGGTGCTGATTTAATGGAGTCACTAGAGCCTGTGATTGGTATATACTCGGAATAAGCGTTGGAAGCACGGAATAAAAATATAATGTCAATTCGATAGCATTGGACCCGGAAGACTTTTCGCCAAGCCGCAATGACGGATTTACTGCATTGGTTAATTTTAACAGGTTGGTAATATACTGAAAAAAAATCAATTTAATAACAATTAAAATATTTTTATGATTTTTGTACAAGTGATATCCTTTTTTCCATGAGCAGACCAATGAAATCTGAACTAAGCCAAACATTTCCTGATGGTGTGCAAAATTTGTAGAAATTATAATAAATTACACCATTATGTAGACGACTATTTGGATAGCGTTGACACAATATAAGAAGCAGTACAACTGGCAAAGGAGGTAAAAACTGTACATGAACGCGGAGAATTCGAACTTCGACATTGGCTGTCTAGTTCTGCAGAAGTACTCAAGAAGATTGGTGAAGAACCAATCGAATCGACGAAGAACTTTGTGCTGGGGAAAGGTAGCGGCTCAGAACGAGTTTTGGGCATGATCTGGCTACCCCAAGAAGACTTATTTTCCTTTGCGATACACTTTCGAAGCGACCTCGAGAAGTTGTTGAATGGAATATCCTATCCTACCAAAAGGGAACTTCTCAGCCTAGTCATGAGCGTATTCGACCCACTTGGGCTGGTGGCAAACTTCGTGATCCACGGCAAAGTATTGGTGCAAGATGTGTGGAGATCGGGTATAGGATGGGATGAACAAATTCCAGGGGAAATCTTCCCATTGTGGCAACGGTGGGTTCTAGCACTCCAAGATCTGAGACATGTGCGAATAGAACGCTGCTATTTCCCGGGATATGGTCCAGAAGCCTTCGAGACTCTGGAACTACACGTTTTTGTGGATGCGGCAGCTGCCCACTTCCGGATCGTCGATCGTGGAACTATCCGCTGCTGTCTGGTAGCGTCCAAAACCAAGGTTGCACCACTCAAACAACTCTCTGTACCGAGACTAGAGCTGCAAGCTGCTGTCATCGGTGCAAGGCTGATGAAAACCATCATTGCCAGCCACACCATTCCAATCAACAGGAAGATATTCTGGAGCGATTAGAACACTGTCCTGGCTTGGCTTCGATCTGATCAACGGAAGTTTCATCAATTTGTAGCCTTCAGGGTCGGTGACATTCTGGAAATTACTGCCGTATCCGAATGGAGAAAGGTGTCTACGAGGTGGAACGTGTCGGACGAAGCCACGAAGTGGGGAAACGGCCCAAATGCTACCGTAAATAGTAGGTGGCTCAGAGGCCCGGAATTCCTTTACAAGGATGAGCTAGAGTGGCCAGAACAGGAAATGGAATGTACAACTTCTGAGGAGATACAGGCAGTCAACATCCATCGCACAACAGTAGCAGGTGAAACAATTGGGTTTGACCGATTCTCGAAATGGGAAAGATTGCGTAGGACTGTAGGGTACGTGCGGCGATTCCGAGACATCTGCTTGAGGAAGAAGAACAAGCTGTTACTTCCGAATCCTGAGATTCTGAGCAGCGAAGAGCTTCGGGAAGCTGAACATACGGTGCTGAGAATGTTTCAACGTGAAGTATTCGCTGATGAGTATGCTTCGTTGGAATCCAACAATAAAGTCCCACTAATCCAACGTAAGGCAGTGGCAAAGAGTAACAGGATCTACAAGTTGTGTCCATTCATCGGAGCTAATGGCGTAATTCGAAAGGATGGGAGGATCGGTGCTGCTCCCTGGCTGACCATCGAAGCAAAGTATCCTGCGATTTTACCCAAAACCCATTACGTGACCGCATTGATCATCGACAGCTTTCATCGAAAATTCGGGCATGCAAATAAAGAGACGATCGTAAACGAGATCAGGCAACAGTTCCATGTGTCCGAGCTCAGAGGTGTGGTAGGAAAGCTGGTAAAGGAGTGTTGCAGGTGCAAAGTGCGCAAGACGATTCCACAGCCTCCCCGTATGAGCCAACTTCCGGAAGCGCGTCTAACTCCATACGTCAGGCCGTTCACCTTTACTGGTTTGGACTATTTTGGACCAATTACTGTCAGATTTGGGCGTTGTACCGTGAAACGCTGGGTGGCATTATTCACCTGCCTCACAACGCGGGCAGTTCATTTGGAGATTGCGTTCACTTTGTCTACGGAATCATGCAAGTTAGCCGTGCGAAGATTCATCGCTCGGCGTGGTGCACCTCTGGAGATCTATTCGGATCAGGGAACAAATTTCCTAGGAGCTCGGAAGGAACTGCAGCAAGAAATCAAGAAAGTTAATCATGAACTGGCCTCAACGTTCACGAATGCAGCAACGCAGTGGAAGCTGAATCCTCCGTATGCTCCGCATATGGGCGGCATCTGGGAAAGATTGGTGCGTTCGGTGAAGGCTGGTTTGGCTGCCATGGAGATGCCAAGGAATCCGGACGAAGAAACTTTCATCACGGCGTTGGCGGAAGCAGAGTCGATGGTGAACACTCGTCCTCTTACCTACCTTCCGCTGGATTCGAAGGAAAGTGAAGCACTTACCCCGAACCACTTCTTACTTCTAAGCTCCAACGGAGTATGTCAACCAACCGTCGCTCCGTTGGATATTAAATCGGCTATACGTTCGAATTGGAACCACGTTCAAGTCATGCTTGACCGCTTTTGGAATCGGTGGATAAAAGAATATATTCCAGTCATCTCACGACAGTCGAAGTGGATTCCAGGAAGTGAAACCGATCCAAGTTGGAGACTTGGTCGTAGTCATGAACGAGGCAAGGAGGAATAGCTGGGAGCGAGAAGTCGTTGAGAAGGTGTATCCGGGGAAGGATGGACGCATACGAAGCGCAAATGTGAGGACTGCGACGGGTGTACTTCAGCGGCCGTTGACCAAGCTGGCGGTACTGGACGTGCTTGAGCAAGTTGATATGGCTGAAGGAACTTCAAGCAATACGGGGTGGAGTGTGTGCGCAACGGTACCAGACCCCCCGTCAACAGCAAACGCTGACGATACCCTGTAGAACTAGAGGTTAAATGGTAACGTCACCGGACAACGTCAAGTGAGAAGTCGTCAGCTTGAGTTGTCAGTTATCAATTTCTGTATCATTGTTATGTTACTACCAAGATCAACACAGAACAAACAACACCTTAAAAGTAAGTAATTGTTAAAAGTTGGACTATAAATTTGTTAATTATAACTGTAATTGTAAGTACACTTTGCTTTAAAATAAACACATAATACTAATTGAAACACATCATTAACAAGAACTCAACGAATAAGCATAAACTATTGTTACGACAGACGAATAATTGTTTACGAAGTGGATTAAAATTGTAAGTAACCTAAAATGTGCTAAAAAACATGCGTTGAAACTAAAAAATAATAAAATTACAGCTAAAAGCTAACTCTTAACAAACAAACATACGAGTTTGCCTTTAAGAGGTCCGAACGACTTCATCGTCTCCGTAACAATAGGTTTAAAGAATGTTTTATCTAGGAAAAATCACGTTTATGGGGTTTTCCATAAAAAAAATATCCCATATCATGCAGTATTTAACATATAATTCATGTTTCTGCAAGAAATTTTGAATTTTTTGAATAAAACACACTTAAATGCTTCTATTACTATTGGTTTTGTAGTGGGATGTGGTGGGAAATGGTAGTAAATCGTAAAAATTATATGTTTGGAGCAAAATCAAAAACTACTCACCTATTTAGCGATCAAGTGTGCTATGATATTCATCAAACTTACGTGTATTAATGTTTTGAACAATTTTGTAGAACATTTCAAACCAGTAGAAGTTTAAAGAAATTAATTATTAAGTAGAAACTTTTATTAGGAGGTTTCCCACCAAAAACATTCCATATTTCAAAAAAAAAATAATAAATAGCCACCTATAGTCTTGAGCAAACTTTCTTGTTTTGATATTTTCTAAAACTTTGCCGAAGACACCAAACCTGAATATGGAATTTTTGGAAAAATAAATTTTGAATCTAACTTCTTGGAGGATTAATCGTTGATTTGTTAATGTCAAAAGAAGGGTCTTTTTATATCCAGAAACTTTCCTGAAGACTCCACTAGTCCAAAAGGCAAGATTCATGAGATAATGACTTTTGACCGTCTTTTCACAGTTCTAGACCACTGTGCGCCGGGAACTCTGGGAAGTAAAGCCGTTGGTCCCCGGTCCATGAGTTGATGGGTCGATAGCTAGGGTCCAGGTGTGGGAGTTGCCTTCCTTGCTTTGGTAGCATTGATAACTCAGTACGGAAAACAAGATCGACGGAAAACAAATCAAAGGAAAAAAAATACCAGAATAAAAACCCACTGTACACCCACAACATTCAATAGTAGTCTTTTAGAAATCCTATCCACACCTGCTATACCTTTCCCAATGAAAACCAATTAGTATACACCACTTGATTACTGCTTCACTCACAGTTTCCATAGCCTTTAGTCAGGTGACAGTCCGGCATACGATGGTCGCAAAGCCCCTCCAGATTACCCAATAGTGAACCGAATTTGAGATACAGCTCGAGAGGTTTTTTGCAACTGAGCGTTTCTACCGGGATACAGACAGTAGAGCTACAGGGTCGAAGAAATATTATGTTCCATTTACGGTAGTTTGCCAGTAGTCGAAATATTTATAAACTTTTTTCGGGACAATCTGGTCAAAGAGTTACTTACTTCTATGCTAATACGACATGCACTAAACTAAGAACACGGGATAAAACATAGTTGATCGAATAAATCTTTTCATATCGTCAGTCGTATTGGTTTGTTGTGATGTTAGGAGCATGGTGGCTTTATGGTGACCATATTTGCATACTGAGCAAAAGATCGCGGGTTCAATCTCAGTGTCGGAGTGGCAGCTCAATCAGGAAAATCGGGATAATTTTAATTTCACTAGCCCCACTACACAGCGAGAGGAAAATGGACATGGTTAAGCTGGAGCTTGAAATCAACAACTGCTGCTGCTGCTTTGAATATTGGTCCGTTCCCCATTTGGATGGTGTGCTGGCTACATTCCAGCCACTCGTCGCTGTACAGCCGAAAGCGTAATTGAAGACTTTCAAATGTTAATCAAATTACATGCAAAAACTTCGCTGAAATCTCCCTCATTCTACTTGGTGCAGAGAGTTCAACAAGTCACTGGTCCGAAAACAAAGCAACAGACCTCATCGGATTTCCGGAAAACTCATCCCGAAATTACGTGACACGTTTCGCTGATGAACTCCGCTCTCTAGCACGATTCCCGGTAGTACATTTTCAACTGAGCAGGACTCTAAGAATGCCATCCACTAACGATGTTTCTCTAGTAATAAAATAATTACCATCCGGGGATGATGGATCATCATCACCGGGCGGAGTAAAGTAACGAACCATTATATAAAAAATAAAACAAGCAAACCCGGCAGTTCTTCGTTTGAAAAATAAATATTGACCAACTGCGAGCGGCTGACGGCTAGCCGTACGAGCGGGCGAGCGAAAGTTTTGCACCCGGCAAAGCAATCAGGAATTAGGGCGAAAGAAATGAAAACTTTTCTCCGAAACGCAAACACTTTTTCTCAGTTTAATCAGTTTTTTGAATAAAATGCTACGCTTCCGTTTAAAACATTCAACGTAAATTAAGCCGTAGCGCTCTCTGTGGCTTGGATAATGAATGAAACGTCCGGAGTGTGAGTGAGGAGTAGCTGCAGAGTAGGGAACAAAACATATAAAACAAAAAGTTCGGGAATCCAGTCCATTTTGCTGCCGCAAGCATTTCCAGTCGGCTGTGCAGGCAGTGTGCCAGCATTTAATAAATTACAAAATATTTCTAATAAATTACCACATGCATGCTTGCATTATGCTGCGGGCCGTATGTTGCGTTATATGTAGTAAAATGAAGCGCTTTTTTTTGTCATTTTTGTATGACCAACGCGTTTGTGGTTATGTTTGTAGGTTAACAACTTCGGAGTGATTTGAGATTTGGGCGTAATTTAAATTTCAACCGCCGAAATCTCGAAAACTAACAACACTATGAGGTAGAGGAATAATCCATTTATCATTTGGTATAGTTTGTTTACGAGAATGAGCTTTTCTTCACGAGAAATCGACGATTGACGTGTTTTTCCATAAATGCAATTACGCCCAAACCACAAATCACTCCGGAACTGTTCTTGCTTCCCCTACATTCCAGACATTTTTACCGCGGCTTGGATTGTTTACGCCAATTTTATAAATATTAGTGATCAGCCTAGGGAAACTCCACTGTTGAATAGCTAAATCGAGCATTTACAATCTGCCGCACAAATTCTAACAAAGGGTACATAATGGCTTGTACTTCGACCCTTAATCGACTCTCCCGCTCAAAATAGGCAGTCCAGGAGACTATAAAACCATCACACATTTTAATAGATATTAAGCCCTGGCTATATTAATTTGTAGCCAACGTGTAGTAAATGTCCCAAATTTAAGTTATACATACCTGACCACAAGAAGATAGGTGTTTCGTGTACAATTGAACCTTGACCATTAGTGCAATCAATCCCGTGTTTTCCGTTCGAGCATCCGAGAATAAATATATGAACTTGTCCAGAATCCGTTTTTATGTACTGACAGAGATCGTCTGCAATTTTCATCAATTCACGTTACTGACCTCCAACAGACGCTTGAATGTACGTTAACTCTTGTGTTAAGAACTTTTTTGAAAACTTTGAGTCGAAGGTACGCAGGTGAAAAATATGATGCTCAGGTAATATTACATTTTAACATTTACAATATAGCGTATGTAGCGTTTTCAGCAAAGTTGTAGATTACCATAATATAAAAATCTTTGGTCAAGGAAGATACCGTTTATACCGTTCTGAAAGCGACATTCGATTGCATCGATCATGGTATTCTTCTTCGGAAAATGTCTCGGGAATTTCGGATGGTTTGGTTGATTGGCTGAAATCATATCTTTCCAACAGAACACTTCGTGTCAAGCTGGGTTCGTGCACTTCATCACCATTTGCTGCAACCTCCGGTGTTCCCCATGGCAGCAATTTAGGACCATTGCTGTTCACAATCTTCTTCAACGATGTGACGCTCCTCTTGCCGAGTGGTTGTGTGCTCATATACGCCGATGATCTCAAACTATACATTGTTGTCAAGAACGTCGAGGATTGCCGTCAGCTTCAAGCAATGTTAGACCAATTTGTTGATTGGTGCCGCTTAAACAAGCTTTCCGTCAGTATATCAAAATGTGTGGTCATGACATTTAATCGCACAAGAACGCCAATCGTATTCGATTACTCAATTGATGGATTTGTACTAGAAAGAGTAGAACAAGTAAGCGACCTAGGTGTAATGCTGGACCCTAAACTTACGTTTGACTTACACCGTTCAATGGTAATCACTAAGGCTAATCGTCAGCTTGGTTTTATATCAAGATTCTCAAGAGATTTTTCGGATCCGTACTGTTTAAAAGCACTGTACTGTTCACTCGTTCGTCCGATTATCGAGACTGCATCTGTTGTTTGGACTCCCTACCAACTTTCCTGGAACATCAGAATAGAACGTATCCAAAAAACATTCATTCGTCGAGCATTAAGACAACTTCCTTGGAGAGATCCACTAAACTTACCTCCGTATGCTGAGAGATGTCGCTTGCTAAGCATGGACACGTTACAACGACGGCGACAAATTCAACAGGCAACATTCGTCGCGAAGTTATTAAGTGGTGAAATTGACTCTACCCACTTACTCTCTTGCTTGAACTTTCGTGCGCCAAGCAGATTTCTACGCTCAACGTTCCTATTGCGTCAAGACTCACACCGCTCTTCTTTTGAACAACATGAACCTGTTAAGAGTATGATTCGCACGTTTTCTACAGTTGAAGAGTTGTTCGAGTTTGGGGAACCTGCTGCTCAATTCCAGAGACGTATTATTAACT